CCTGTACGCCGCCAGGGGGTGCTGTACAGGAGAGTGTTGGTAGAAAGTGAGGATTGCCTCATTCGAGCGGTAGGCACCATGCGAAGAGCATGGAACGCCATACGAACGTAGAGCTTGCAGACAACAAGTACGTGTACTTCGCACTTAGTGTACGGCATTGCTGAGGGTAATGGACGAGCCGCTGCTCGCATTTATCGAGAACGTTTCTCCGACAAACATCAATCATAACACAGTTTGTTTGCATGTTTGCATCAAAATTTCAGTGACTAGGGTCATTAAGAAATGGCAGGACAAGTGAGGGCAGGCCACGATCGACTCGCTCAGTCATTAAGGAAGAAAGTGTGTTGGATACGATTGAGACCGGTATACGTGCCACTGCCTCTCAATTAAGAATGTCTCGTACCAGCGTCCGGTGTGCCTTGAACGCCGAGTCCTTCCACACCTTTCGTCCTCAAAGGGTTCAGTTACTGCTCCTGAACGTGTGCGTTTCGCACAGCGGTTTCTGAAAGAAAGTGCCCGAGATGTTAACTTCTTATGTGTTGCTTATGTGTTATGTGTCTCAGCTTATGTGTTGTTCACGAATAAGGCCATATTCAATAGGGATGGCGCATTCAATCACCACAATCAGGATAATGTGGGCTCAAGAAAACCCCTACGGTGTGCGGCACCACGCGGCACAACAACACTTCAAAATTAATGTGTGGGCACCTGCTAATTTTGGACTGAATGTTCGTAACCATTTGAGCAGATGATTCCCGCATCGATAGATTGGGCGTGGTGAGCTGATTCCCTGGCCCCTCCACGCTCACCAGATTTATCGAGACTTGATTTCTTTTTGTGGGGAGTCATCAAAAGTGCGTGTATCACGATCCTGTTGTGTCTGAAATAGATCTCGTGACAAAACTCGCCTGCGCAACTGCTACAATCAACGAAACTCACGGTGTGTTTGAACAAGTCCGGCAATCAATGGTCCATCAGTGTTAGGAATGTTTGACGTCTGATAGTGCAGACTTCGAGCATCAATGGTCCATCAGTGTCAGGAATGTTTGACGTCTGATAGTGCAGACTTCGAACATCTGCTGCAACATTAAAGCTGTCGTACACCATTTGTATTCATGTCCAATAAATGTTTCAAATTAATCACTCTTTTATTTCCTTTCCCATTTTCTCTGCTACCACTTACCACTGACATTTCCGGACATGGGTTCCTATGCAATTCTTAATCCTTATGATGTGCTCTACCTCTCTCAGAAGTCTGTCGCAACATTTACGAAACTTCTATATTATTAGGGCACTATGCAGGTGTAATAATTAATAATCTTAAGGATGAATACCAGGACCTAGTAATGAAATGGGAAGTGCTAAAAAATTCAATTCAAAAGTCAGAGGGAGAGCGGTAAATGCAATTTTTGCAAAAATTGCGTCTTATATGGATATAAATTCCTCTTGAAATATAATTTCTATAGTAACACGTATGCCAGTGTCCTTTTTGCTAAGCTTGTACTCACCCTGTCTGTAACGCAAGTTGAATACGAAAGAGCTTTCCCAAAATTAAAAATTGTAAAAAGTTGATTAAGGAGTACTATGAAGCAAGCTAATTTGGAGTCATTGCTATTGATGAACATAAAGAAGGAAATTTTGGCTAAAGCAAAAATCAAAGATATAACGGAGGAAATATTTGCCCGGGTGGCCTGGAATTAGAAAATATTTAAATGGCTAATTATGAATCAAATTAGTTTTCCTCCCTATACACTTCAGAAAAAAGTGGACAAAAAGAATATTTATTTTTATATGAGAAAAATGCTTCGTTTCACAGTCATTCCTTGATTAGGATCTTGTGTGGTAAAAATATGTGATAAAGCTTACAATTCTATTTCTTATGGGCGACAAGAAAATTCACTGCGGCAACAGATAAAACAAAATAAAATAAGAGACTCGTTCTGAGAATATTAAAATGAAAGTTCTTAATCTTTATCTGGACTGAGGATCTCTTTGAAATATGCATGTTAATATATTAGAAATAAAACATATTAAAAAATGCTTACCATAAAATAACATCCTGTTCTTTTCCTGTTTACTATATCTACAACTTAACACGCTAATATTCCATCCTATGTAATTTTTATGCATTATGTTTGTGATACCAACTTTTGGTCATGAAATTTAAACAATTTTAAGGAGCAAATTTCTACAAGTAATTGTTTTGATGATTTCTACAGGGCAAAACTATCAAGGATGGCTTATTTATTTAAATACAGAAACAATTTTAATGCTTTTTTTCAGTCAGTTTCCGGGTCAGGAAAATTAGACTGTTTTTGTGTTGACGTGAGCTTTTTACTAGAAGTAATAGAGCAGATAAAATCACACGCATAGCATTTTTTAACTATCACTGGTTTACGGATTACGACATCCTTAAAACGCTATAATATTTTGTATATTCTTCAGACGACACAATTGTATAATTACCGCTATTTTTTAAATACGAAATGCCAAATCACATATTAGCCAGTGAAATTTCAATTAACTTCTTTAGAAATAAAACTTCCGTGTCAAGAATGAGACTATATTGATAATAATACATATAAGATAAAGTATTTTTAAGAGAATGTTTTTCTGTGGCAACAATTAACAAAATTAGTTCGAAATAAGAGTCAAATTAATGTGAAATAGAAATAGTTTTTGTAAGTTGTGGTGAATTTATTTAAATAGTCGAGTATGTTAAAACATACTAAACCGAAGAAACCGAATTAAAACCGAAGAAATTATTCATGTAGCATCCATAAGCGCCCGAACCAGGATCGAAATACCTGTATTTGAATGTATCATCCATCCCCACGCACGAATTAAAAAAAATTAATATTTGCCACATTTTAGGCCTTTGATAAGTGGAATTATTTTAATACTTGAGAGCTTGCTAAGGAGTTAGACTCTAGTGCCATGTCCATTAGTCGCGCTATGAATCGCATAAACTTGACCTACAAGTTCAATCGCTGTATGCTGCATTAGCTGACGCAAGCAGATAAGGACAGACGTGTTTGGGCCTGCAATATTTGCTCGAATATCAACGCAAGGACAAAATTCTGCACCGGATCGTCACTTGTGATGAAAAGCGAATTTACTTCAACAAAACAGGTCGAAAAGGGTATTAGTCTGTGCCCGGTGTGCCCACTGGAAGCGTCGCAAAGCGAAATTTGACTAACAAAAGGATCATGCTTTTCATCTTGTGGTTGCCGTGGTATTTTCTACAAAGAGTATCTAGAAAAAGGCAAAACCTTTGACTGTAAGGTGTACTGCGAGATGCTACTCTGCGTTGACGCAGCTATCAAAGAAAAACGTCGAACTGAGTTCCGGAACAAAAAAGGTGGAGGTTTTTGGTCACTACTGTGGGAGTGACTGTTAGGTTACCCTCTTAACTGACTCCTTATAATGAATGACTGGGTAAGGTTGCGAGGTTTCGTACTCCTACTGCATTTTAAACTCAAACATATTTATTACAATTACGAAACTCTTTACACATAAATAGCATATATAAGTATTTAAATTAATTACCGTCCTCGTAGTGTGGGGAGTCTGCTAACGAAGATCTCTCCAGTTGAGAGCTCATGAGCATTGTAGGTTTCTCTAGTCGAGAGTTAAGGAGCGTTCTGATGTTACTCCGATGACGAAAATCTTCAGACTGAATTAGCCACGCCTCCTTAATTTTGCAGTAGCATTTTCCATCGTCATAGCTGGAAGGATATCAGAGGAAAACTCAGATCATCGGTTCGTCACCACTCATGAAATCGAGAGGCTTTGACGACAGACACGGTGACAAACGTTAAAATCTCCTGACACTAGTCATAAACTTATGTCTCTGCGATGTGAACATGTCGTGTGAAACATCGTAAAGGCTGCGAGCAGTGAATTTCAGAGACCGCACACACGATTTACTTATCTCTGTGTGGTCCGCCGCAAAGGTAATGTCCCATCAACATAATGCAAGACCACAACTGTCTGCATTCACCGGCTGGATTCTGTACGAACTTGAATGGGATATTTTGTCAGATCCACCCTATAGCCTCGACATCGCCCCTTCAAATTTCTATCTTTTTTTACACCTACAACTATATCTTGCTGGTGCTATCTTCCATTCTGCACAGGATATCCAAAATGAGGTTTGTCTAGTTTTGGAGTCGCGGCCACCAAGTTTCTGGGCCGAAGGCTTTGATAAACTGAAAAACTACTAAAACGTCGGCAAAAAATCATAGCTTTTGGTGGCTTTCTGCTTATAGCTTTCTGCTTTAATGTTTTCTTTTTTTCCCCCAAACTTTAATTATGAACGTTTCTTGGCGGAAAACTTCCGTTTAACCAGATATAAGGATTTTTAGTTTTGGCTGAATTTTTGCAGCAAAAGTTTACTTCTTGGGACAAATCGGCTTATATTTGGAAATATACTGTAATCATCTTTTGGGGTTATTTTGCCAGTATTCAGAAATAAAACTCTTGAAAAGAAAGGTTGGGGAAAAACACGTCTAGTTAAAACGTAAAACCTAACAATACTTAGCTTTTGATTGCTAATGATCATTAACTACACAGAAAATCTGTTTGCTTTTCGTGGGAAATCTGACATAGATGTGTCTTTTCAAAGCGCAAAAATATTCTGGAATATGTTACTTAAATCGATTAAACGAAAATAAATAAACAATAAAACAGGAAGCAGTATTTGCAGTATAATCTATTTTAAAAAAATAGCTTTGCGAAGGCCAGCTTTGGGATTAAATTTACTAATGTTGAAAGATTTTGATTAATGTGGAAGGCTGTTAAAAACTCTAATTCCCTAGTTGTAAAATTTTGTGGGATAACATTAAAGAGACTAAATTTAAAGAAATGTTCAGGAGGCAAAAATTACTTGCAGAGAAAATTCATTAGTTCTCCTTTCCTGATTTAAGATTCATGTTTCCCATAATCATAATTTATTTTAATACTTGTATAATTAGAAAATTTCTTCAACACTTTTACAGATTTTGGAAAGACGATATGTACATATTGAGCTTGAAAAGACAATGGAAAACAATACTCTTGATTCTATTCAACCTGTCTTGCATACAATCCGATATGTTCCATTACTACAAATTAAAAAAGTTTCTGACAGCAGTGGCTTTTGCACGAGCCCTTTCAAAAAGACCGACTATTCTACCTATACCAATTCCAATACCTATTCCTATGGGAGGGCAGAACGAGGTAGTCAAAATACCGTAAGTATATAGTTTTTTTTTTTTTTTTTTTTTTTTTTTTATGTTTTAACATTTTATTAATAGTTATGATAGTCATAAGTCAACAAAAGTTGAAATTTATGATGAAAAAAAATTTTTTATTAAAAGAAAAGAACACAAGTGATCAGTATTTTAAACATCTTTCTGAAGGCAAGTCTTTTTTCCCTACCCGAATAAAATTACATCTGCGTCATTTGATAAGAAGAAAAATCGGGTTTGCCGGAAGTGAGGTTATAACCACTGTGGAGGTTAAAATAGGAGGCATGAACTGTCCGAAAATGGAGTAACGATCAAGAGAAAACATACTAGGAAATGCGTGAAAAATGCTAACTAAAATATATATATATATATATACATACATTTATAGGTAATGACAAATATTAACAGTTCAGTTAGGCTGCGTCAGATAGCAAAATTTTCAAGATCAAAAGAGGCATTGGACGGTCCTGAAGTTTTTTTGTTTTAATTACACCGAAATTAATAGCACCAGATGCTTTTGCCAATTACGTTTGAAACTGATTTTTTTCTCTATTTGATTTTTGCACTTTGCTTTTCATCAAGGCAGTAACATTTTAATCTTCCCTTTCTGTTTGTGAATATCGCTATTACTGGTACATCACAGATAAGAAGTATATTAATAGTTATAATATATATATAATATATTAATAGATATAAAAAATAGCTGTTACATATAGAGTAGAACCCCGATTGTCCACGCTAATGTGGACCGCGGCCTAATTCTAATACCACGAATTGATACGAAGAAAATTTTAATGCTATAATCCAGCGGTTCTCAACATTTTGACAAACGCGAACTATCTAAACAAAAAAATCGAAAAACTTTAGTACTATCACTATATTTTACAACGATTATTTTTCAATTTCTCAATAGAAATATTAAAAAAATATATATTTTGCCATTTGCACAATCTGTTGGCTATTTGTATTAAATGTGCAAACATAAAAAATATTAGATTAAAAATCGGTTTTCCTTTTAATTATCAAAATTTAAGTTATAATACTTGAATTCTAAAACTTAGTGTGAAATTTAGTGCCTGTTTAAGAGAGATCAATTTCTTTATGTCTGGTCATATTTCACTTAGCTTTAACCGTAAATTAGGAACCACTTTTAATTTTGTTCTGTAATTTTTTTTCCCAAATATAACATGGAAGAAACTCCTTATTCACACAAATAAGTTGTGCATAAAGGGAATAAAAATTTAATAGCTTTATTTAAAGTGCCTTTAAATTCTTTTATTCGGTTCAGTCAGTTAACAAGTGTGTTATATTTGAAATCTTCAGTTAGAGTTCATTCACAGAAAATTTCTATTAAAGTTGTTCTTCTTCACGAGATTTTTTGAATTTAATGGTTTAAAAAAACTTTTTTTACTTACTTCGTAAAGAAGCAAAGTAAGTAAAAAAAGTTTACCACCGGTTGAGAATCGTTGGTATAATCTTAATATACAGCCTAATGCACACACACCACCACCAAAAATTTTTTTTTAATTTAAAACGAAGTCTATAGGCTTTCATATTTTATATTACGCCAAAAAGGTGTTTTTTAATGTTCCGTGCGTTAACTTTATTTATTAAATATCATGTTCTTCGCCCTTAAATAACATAAAATTCAATTCAACACAGCAATATCGCAAAATATTTAAAAACAGCATATTTTTAGGATTCCCAATAGACAGGCCTCACGCGCCGGAAAAAAACTATTGTTTTTCGTACAGTGTTTTGCCATTGCTGGCTAAAATCGTTGAGTTTGTTAATCAAAAATTCGTTAAAGTTTTACAAGGTAGGAAATAGGTAATAAGACGAATTCGAAATTCAAAATTCGAGCTTCTAGGTGCCCATGTTCGGGTACGTTATTCAAAATTTTATGGTTTTAGGTAACGTCATTTTTTTACTATGCAAAAAAACATACATACATGCAGATTCTTCATTATTTAATTTTTTTTTAAATATAATACAGGATGATAACATTTAGCGGCAGCGATTTAAAAAGTAATACGCCGTTTATACTGAACCGACATAAAATACCGTTTGGAGACGCCTTTCTGAGCGAACGCTCCGTTGGTCTAAAAAAACTAAAATAAAATCTGAAAGCTTTCAGATTTTATTTCTTTTTTCTTTATTTTCTGGATTTCATCAGCTGCCGCTGAGGATGATGGTTCGCTAAAACCATCGAAACCAATCCTGTGAAAATTTGCAAATATAACCCTGGTGTTTGTTGTTTTAATTCTAAATTAATGTTTATACTGTTTAAATGCTTGTCGAATGTACCTTGATGATTTTTTTAAAACTTTCCTGGGTCCGACACTGAAAGGTTATGCACTCAGGCTGTTGTGAAATTGATAGATCCGCCAACAAGCCTTACATAGTTTCGGAAATTTCGCCGTCGTCAGGGAATTTGATCCATTGGGATAGTAGCTGATCAGCTTATTCCAGTAGATCAACTTCCAACAAAGAAAAATTATTTTCTATTTTTACTTTGCAATAAAAGGAGTATAATTTAAGTACTATTAAAGAGATAATTAATTACATCACTTATTTAATTATATATCTAATTACAAATACTATTGGAAAGAAGTTGATACCGGATTTATATCATTTTGAATTTTTCTAATTACTAAACATTCGGAAAGAGTTTAAAGCATTAAGCTCCAACTCCACTGAAAAATTGAAAAGACTTGAAAAAGATATCTATGATTAAAATATCCTGTTAATTTATGATGAATAAAAATTAGTCACGTAGCCAGGGTTAAACTTCTACCTGACAGTTTAACATTTTCTAAAGAACTTATTTAATGTATATAATGAAGCACAAACTGTTCTGAGAATATAAAAACTGTAAAGTGTTAAAATCAAGATTCAAATTTGAAAAAATTCTTTCTTCTATGCAAACAACACTTTCAATCTATACTTAAATATGATTCCTTTTTATTTTCTTTATGCATTTTCAGAACACAACCCAGTAAAACTGTGATAGCCGTATCTGGTAGTGGTCGCAAGAAATATCCTGTAGGAATCAGCAGCGTCATATCTGGTGGATCGTTTCTTTCGTCGCTTGGGAAAGATTACTCAGGATCATCTTCGTATGGTTACTCTTTAGGAGGAGTGAGCAACGAAAATGTGATCAATCTGTCCTCCCTGAATGGTCTTGATAGCAACAATGTAATCCGACTGGCACCAGGGAACATCGGAAGCGCAGCAAGCAATAATATAATCCGTTTGTTATCAGGAGGTGGAAAAAGCCCAAACTTAGGAAATAACGTTGTTGTATTAGATGGACACAACTTTGGCAATGTATTAGGATCTAATAATATTTTTGATGGCGGATCGTCTGTTATACAGCTACCATCAGGAGATTTTGGTGCATCTAACCTTCAATTCGCATCAAATGGACTGAATTTTGGAGGTAACTTCGGAGATTTAGAAAGTTCGTTTAGCTATAAAATCCCTCGAGGAATAAAACTTCCCTTGAATTTATATTCAGACAAACCCAGGAGAAAAATCCCGTTTAGATTCCGAGGTCGTAGGATGAGAAGTCCAGACGACATAAATTATTCTCAAGCATCATCACAGTCATATGAATTATTCGAGAATGGTAAGAAATATATGACACAACACAGACCTCAAAACAACATGGCTTATCAACCAAGCAATGCATACAGACCTCAAAGTAACAGACATTATCAATCAACTAATTCACAGACACCTCAGAATAAAAGACCCTATTCAAATAAACCCAATATGGACAATCAAAACAAGCATGAAAAGAAACCTATTCGCGTAGGCGACAAATACGGATTTCGATCCCGATCATCAGCATTAACTGTTGACGAAGCAGCTTCAGAAACATGGTACCAATAACAAAATGAGTTTGCTATCCTTTTCAGCTTAAGCCACGTGTCGGAAACTTTCCTTTTCTGCTTAAGCGATGTGTTGGAAACAAGGCCTCGTCGAAATGGAATGCAAACGAATGTGACTTCCAACCCAGAGAAACTGTCAGTGTTGAAATTGTTAAGGAACTATAATGAAATCCAATGTGCCACAACATCAAGTAACTTTTGTTTATTTATGTAAAAGAACTCAGCTCATCGGTGAGAATAAAGCGAGAATTATGCAATGCTACTAGCTAATAATAAACAGCGTTGCTGACGCAAGTATTAAATTTACAAATGTGATAGAAAAAATGTGTAAAATGCACAGAAATGATTGATTGAAAAACTGTTTCTGTACATTAACTTGAATCATGCATGAATTAGTAAATTTGTATTAGTAGTTTAAGCTCTTCCTTTCTTTTTCAGTTTCACATTTTGATCAATTGCATTACAATATTTTTTCCCTCTTATTATGCATAAAAACAAAAATATTCATGATAAATGCCCTTCTGCAACATCGCTTAAAACACAACAGAGGTATGAAAATAATTTACGATAGATAAGAGAAAGAAGAATATCATAAAAACAGAAGAAAATGTCATAGCAGCTTTTATAATGATGAATAAATGTGTCATTGAACAAAAAGAGACGGAATAGTATAACAGATAGCTATCTATGTACGATGGAAAACTTAGCTCATAAAGCATTCGTTATTAATATGAAACCAATAATTAGGAAGAAAAGGAACCAGTAAAAATTTATTTTGATTGAGGATTGAATCTTGTGGATCAGTTAGATACACGTTTTGAACACCAAGTTAAAGAAATCTCCACCTTTTTCTTCCTCTGTAATTCTTTTCTATCTATAACAGGTAATTTGCTTCAACTCTAACAGAGAAATATGACTAACAGAGTAATGGCATATCTCGATTCTGCTATGTAAAATAACTATCAACTATTTCTCACTTTTGCATTAGTCTTCTTTAAGAGCTATTTCAAAGTTTTACTTCGTCAGGGGATCGAATTCAACACATCTCGATCTACAAACATGTCTGCATTTAGTATTTATTTTACTCTTCTTTTAGCAGCAAATGTAAGCGTGAAATGAAGATTCACCGTCGAACCTGTAAGGCATTTCATAGTTTTCCTAGTGCTTCTTACTCCGAGCATGTGTGATGTAGCCGTTCCTCAATAGACACTAATGCCGGCTAGCTTTAAAAGGATTTATTAACAGAGCACACAGGAACGGTTACAAACAAAAGAAATATACATAAAAATGAAACATATACCAAATGGAACATCAAACAAACAAGAATAACATTATAGCTCATCGGCGGTCGTTGACTTTTTTCATATCGCCACGAGATGGCGTTTAAATAAAATAGTTCGGTTACAGTTCATGTTCATGGCGTGAATAAAATAGTTCAATTACACTTAAATAGGTCTGTTACATCCTCCCCCTCTGACTTCGTAGACGTCTCGGCAAGAAGTCAGGAACTGACATTTGTCTACTTTGTGCAGCGGGCGGAGAATCAGATGAATGGGCTCCAGTTTGACGAGCAGTAGAATTTAGCGTCACCAGCACCTTGTGCAACAGGTGCAGATTCGGGTGGTATTACACGTTTCGGGCGTCCTCTTTTCTTTAAGGGAACCACTGGAAGTTACACGAGCTGAGTTCTGAAACTTATTTCGATCTTGATATGGTTTCAAGGCTGAAACATGATACTTGCCGAGAATTTTGTCTGGTTCATGAGGATCGGCAATATCATAAGTGGTTGGAGATCTTGTAGTCACTATCACATAAGGACCATCTCTCTTGGGCATGAATTTAGCAGTTTTCTTCAGTGGACCTTTGCTGATTGGGTGGAGGGTGACCCAAACTTTATCTCCAGGAACGAATTTCGGTGTTTCTCTTCGTTTTTTTGTCAGCATATCGTTTCTGCTTATCTTGATGCAATTTCGACTCTTTCTCGTACCTGTTGTACATTTCTTGCAAAACGTTTCAAATATGGAGTAATTTCGGGAACAAAATTATCGTTCTCAATTACGGCTTTTATATCATGCTTTACATCATCTAAGGTTCGTAACTCTCGTGCAAATTGAAGAAAAGCAGCAGAATGTCCAGTTGAATCACATTTGGCTGTATTCAAAGCAAACCTTATTAATGGCAGTTTATCCTTCCATGACTGATGGTCGTTACCAACAAGTATTGCTAAACGTGGTTTCAGATCTCTATTCTTCCTTTCAACTGGGTTAGATTGTGGGTGATAGACAGGAGTAAGACTTTGATCAATGTTCAAGATATAGCATAGTTGTTGCATAACAGCACTAGTAAACTGGGTACCATTATCACTTATTATTTTCCTGGGTAACCCAAATCGAAGGGCGACTTCCTCCAAAAGAATAGTGGCACATTCTCTGGCCGTGGCTTCCTTTAAAGCAAATAGTTCTGTCCACTTCGTAGCACAGTCCTGCACAATAAAAATCCATTTTTCACCAGACGGTGTTTCAGGAAGGGGACCGAAAAGATCAATTGACAAGGTCTCAAAACGTTGAGCATAGACTGGAGTTTGAAGTAAGCCAGATGGCTTTTGATTAGTGGCTTTATAACGACAGCATTCGAGACAGCTTTTGACATATTCTGCTATATCCTTTCTCATTCCAACCCAGTAGTATCTTTTTGCTATTCGATAAAATGTTCCTTCAGATCCATAGTGACCGGCCGTTGGCGAATCATGATATTCTTTCAAGATTTCTGCTTTTCTTTTTTGAGGTATAACTAGTTGAGCTTCTTCCTCTTCTGAATCAGGGGAATATCGGTACAAAACTCCTCTGTTCATAACGTAGCCTCTTCCAGTCCAAGTTGCACAGTCTGCTTCTTTCTCTGGACTCTCAAAAGTTTCGATGATCTTCCGAAGATCATCATCTTCTAGCTGTGATTGTCTTAATTCTGCAGGGCTAATAGTAGGGATTTCGACAGAGACAGCACATACTTGACAAGAATCTGTACTTGAGTGTTCACAAATAGGACGAGACAATAGATCAGCAATAAAGTTCAATCGTCCAGGAATGTAATTGATAGTCAGATTGTAGGATTGGATTTGTAAGGCCCATCTTGCGAGCCTACCAGTTGGTGACTTTAAAGACATCAGCCATTTCAATGGTTGGTGGTCAGAGGTGATTGTGATAGACTGGCTTTCAACATATCCTCTAAATTTGTTGAGTGCCCATACTACTGCTAAGGCTTCTTTTTCTATGGTGGAATAGTTTCGTTCTGATGCAGTCAGCAAGCGGCTGGCATATTCTATAGGGTGTTCTTCATTTTTCTCCCCTTGTAGCAACACTGCTCCAATGGCTACATTGCTAGCATCTGTGCGAATGATAAAAGGCTTCGTTCCATCAGCTTGCTTATTTTGAGTGCCCTACTAATAGTTTCTTTTTAAGCTTTAAACAGCAATAAAGAAAAGTTTAAAAATTTAAGGATTATATTTATTTTTAAACAATTTATTTCTTCCTATAAAAATAACGGAAATAAACAAAATCTCATCCGTGATCATAACAAAGCCGGAAAGGCTTGTTGATCTGACCTTCAGAATAGTTTGATAAAGAAAGGGGTCAAAGGCTAATGGAATCTTTGTCAGAAAGTAAAAAGGATGTCATTGGACATCTTCACACCTATTTTCTGCGTTAACTCTTTCGCATCGAAATCGCCCGTAGCGCCCGTTCATTCAGGCAACGGCAAACCGCCCCAACGCCTCGTTTATTTTCTACCTAGTTCTTTCCCCTCCACGTTAGTGTATGGCTCATTGGTTTCGCGAGTTGTTAAAAGACATGTCAATCATTCTTTTGTAGCAAATAAAGGAGAAATACGGAAAGCTATTGACGTTCGCAGGTGCAATCCGGCCCTAAGGTGAAACTGCACACAACGGATGAATGGATGAAACCGCAGAAGGGGGAAAGGAAAACTATTCCAAGACAAATTCGTAAACACGGGCGTTTTCGATGTCTGTTGAAAACAGATTTGGTCGTCTCTCGATGCGAAAGAATTAATGGACGGCGAGGGGAGGAAATTGCTGTGAAACTGGAAAAGTATTTCGGGCGGTTCGGATATTTTGAGGATACAGCTTAGCGAAGAGTCTGAATTTCAAAGAGTTAAGAATCGGCGGGCTAATTAATTTGGATTTCAGCTCTTGGAAAGAATTTCTTCTTGTGCTCTCCACTTCCACAGTGCTTTGTTCTTTGTTAAATCCGTTAACGGTTTGTCTATTTGGGAAAAATTTGGAATATATCGATGATACCAGGACCACGTTTGTACGAACGATTGCACTTGCTTAACAGTTTTCGGCGATGACATTTCTGCAATGGCAGCAGTCTTGTGTTGATGAACAGCATACCATGATTAGTAATGTAATGGCCTAAATATTTCACCTTTTCACAACAGAAGTGGCACTTCTCACAGTTAGCATTGAGCTTGAATAACGATAGACTTTGGAAAACTTGTTCTAAGTCAGAAAGGTGCTTTTCGAAGCTAGATGACAGCACGATGATATCATCTAAATATGACAAAGAAAACACATTATTTAGTCCAGAACGGAACTTATCTATCGATCTAAAAAAAGTGGCAGGAGCGTTTCTCAATCCGAAGGGCATTCGGGTAAATTTGTATGTACCAAAAGGAAAAACAAAAGCAGTCTTATTTTGATCTTTTTCAGCTACTCTCACCTGATGATAACCTGATCTCAAGTCAATAGTGTAGATATAAGGTGTCGGTTTTGCTTCACTCAACAAATCATCTATCAGTGGCAAAGGATAAGAGTCTGGAACGGTCTGAGCATTTAGGTTACGATAATCAATGCATAACCGTACTTTTCCATCCGCCTTGGGCAGTGGCGTAACTAGAACTCTAGGGCCCCTATGCAAAAAATTTTCCTGGGCCCCTTTCCCAATAAATTTATAATGTGCTTAAAAATAAATTTAGAAAAATTTTTTTAATGCAAAAAGTTAAAAAAAAAAAAATTAAGGATTCCAGGAGCCAAAGTTTTCCTGATGATTTTTATCACATCTGGATTAATTGTTAAAAAATAAAAGCACATTCTTAGGGAACCAGTTGAAAGGTACGTAACATGAAGAAAGAATAAAAATGAAAATAATTTCCCTTGACCAACTGGTAAAATGAAAATTTGCTATAGTCTGGGTCTTTGACGTCAGATGATTTTAATTCAGTTACTTAAGACTTTTTGTGTGAGTGCGAGAGACAGATTTTTCTCTCCTTACACTGAGATGCATACTGATAATAAATGAATAAGTCTATATATAAAAAGGAACATGTCAACGTATACCATTAAGAAAAGGAAGAAAGCCTGGATTCGCGGAGATTTTTATATAAAATTCAAGAAGTTTTACATAC